ATGATACCAGTCTATCACAGTAGTAGATAATCTATTAGAGTGGTGGTCAAATGATACCAGTCTATCACAAAAGAGTCGACGGTCGGTGCCGTTGACTAGTCTGTCAGCTCAAAATTAGTGACTGCTAGAGCAGGCAGCCTTTGCGGAGCTTTATGGGAAATTAAAACGAAAAATTATATGTTCCACTAACTTACACATTGAAAACAAAAATGGGTTCGATATCTTTAGAATATTAAAAACAACTGGCTTTACAATCGGTGGATCATTGTTATCAGGTCAGCATCATTATGCATCTAAACTTCAAACGTTGTTAGACAGAATGTTTCGAAACTTTGGTTGAATGTGGCTAAACCAAAGGAAACTGTTGCAGTAAGGTATACGTAAAGAAGGTGATGAATGTGGCTAAACTAAAGGAAGCTGTTGCAGTAAGATATACGTAAAGAAGGTGATGAATGTGGCTAAACCAAAAAAGAAACTTTCATAACAGGAGTGAAAACTAAATCTCTATGAAATTTACTTTTAGTGGTGTAACAGTGAAGTAAAATCAGAGTCAAATGTGCTTAAAGAAGTATATTAATGAAATATCATAACAACGCAGTAATAACTAGAAGATACCGACTTAAATAACAACTCAAGTAAGGTTTATTTAAAGAAGTATAGAACGTAATACAAATTCATATACGTTTAAGCATTAGTATTTGTTTAATATAGCTTAACAGTGTCATGAGATAGAGGTAGGATGTGTTTAATATAGAAGCTATATTAAACACATCCTACCTCTATCTCATGACATTGTTAAATGTTACACTATTTAAACCACACTCTACTCTGACTTAACAATACAATATTTTAAACACACCGTACTAGTATCTAAATACTGTTATACTATCTTAAACTCATCCTACTCCTAACTGAAGACATTGTTAAACAATATTAAACACATCCTATCTCTATCTCATGACATTGTTAAACTATATTAAACACACCTTACCTCTATCTCATGACATTGTTAAATTATATTAAACACATCCTACCTATATCTCATGACATTGTTAAGCTATATTAAACACATCCTACCTCTATCTCATGACATTGTTAAGCTATATTAAACACATCCTACCTCTATCTCATGACATTTTTGTGTTTAGATGGGAGTACGTTGTGTTTTACATAGTGTAACATTGTTTAGATCGGAGTATGGTGTGTTTTACATTATGTAACAGTGTTTAGATGGGAGTACAGTGTGTTTACATAGTGTAACAGTGTTTAGATCGGAGTACGGTGTGTTTTACATTATGTAACAGTGTTTAGATGGGAGTACAGTGTGTTTTACATAGTGTAACTGTGTTCTATCAGAGTAAGGTGTTTTAGATAGTGTTTCAATGTTTAAATCACTGTACGGTGTGTTTTACATAGTGTAACATTGTTTAGATCGGAGTACGGTGTGTTTTACATTGTGTAACAGTGTTTAGATGGGAGTACAGTGTGTTTTACATAGTGTAACTGTGTTCTATCAGAGTAAGGTGTTTTATATAGTGTTTCAATGTTTAAATCACTGTACGGTGTGTTTTATGTAGTGTAGTCGTGTGTCTAAATTAGAATAAGATTACTTGAATGAGTGTAACCATCGTTGAACAAACGTTGCACTATTCAATCAGATAATGGTGACCGATGACCAATAATGAGTAAATAATTCTAAATAAACTTAATGACAATCGGATTAAAAGAAGTCGATGGGGCTTTGGTTATGACTATAAGGCGGTCAGTTATATTATTATGTTCATACTTCCATAATTGTGTATAATTGTCATTCGTTCTCTACGTTTAGAGTGTTTACCAAAACAATAGTGTTTGAGGTCTATGCTTTCCATTGTAAAACTTTCACTCACGTTGGTTAGAATTATGATTTTTTACCACATTGTCTTCAGTCTTCCAGTAATAAATACATTTTAAAGTACATCCTGAGAAACGTTGCGGTTTATGACAAGGCTACACATCATGGGAAACATAAGCATACGAACTGCCCTTAAAGAGGTTGCTAAGGGAAACGAACGCAGCCATTGTGGACGATGAGGCCTAGCTATTCAAGCATTTATAATGAAGAAAGTTTGTTGCTGACCTAGGTTTAAAACATTAAGTGTCTCTTATCCAGTTTAATGATCGGAACTTCTAATAACCTGACACATCGTTTGAAACAACATTATTTCTGTGATATCAACATAACTTTTGAAAATCTGTCGAGTCATAGAGCTCAGAATAAATCTGTCGAACCTTAGAGCTCAGAATAAATCTGTCGAACCATAGAGTTCAAAATAAACCTGTCGAGCCATAGAGTTCAAAATAAACCTGTCGAGCCATAAAGCTCGGAATATATCTGTCGACAGGAATAGTTTGAAATAAAGGTATCGTTTTTTGTTTATTGTTAGTCAGAAACATTCTAAAACTAAAATATTTTATTTATTTTGTATTGTTTCTTTGCTCATTAATATATATGTAAGAAAGATATTGGTTTCCCGAGCTGATGGTATCAAGAAAGGTATATTTTAAATAATCATTCATATCGTATTGCTATATTTATTTGTCCCTTATAAGCTATTAGGTTACCATGTTGCAGGAAAGCTCGAAACTTACTTTGACGTACACAGTTACTCATATATTTCTCTCTCTCAAGGTTCTATAATGCATCCCACCAATGGCAGTCAACCACCCCTCAGCATGATCAAACTGGAGTCTCCCGCCAACTACTACAATAGTTATTCTTCTCCGACGGACTACAGGGGATTAGATCCTCCTTCGGGGGATCACTTACCAGAGGAAGGGATGCCCTGTTCTTCCCCTACACATCAGTCCCCTAGTCCAGCTATTGGATACCGTGCTAAACGTTTACGTCGACTCTCCTTCAGCGAAGAAGACATGACTAGAACAGCTGAAACTAGCGGATATTACTGTCACTCCGCTGCTGATCTGACTAATCATGCTGTGTGGGGAAGCGACATAGAACACGGCAGAATTCACATCGTTCGTGAGTTCACTATATAAACATTAATGATGCCTATAACTGTCGAAAGAAAAATATTTATATGTTGGTTCTAAGAGTTATTTATTTTTAAAACATTGTTGTTGTTTTTTAGGTTCGCAGTTTAGCTGTCTTTGCTTAAGATATTTGGATGGCTAAAGTTTATCTGTAATTCTTATAATCTAAAATAAAGCAACGTTATTATTCTTCCTAAGCTGATTGTTATATTTTAGTAGTGGTTGTTTCACTACACTCACTAACGAAATGTAGATAGAATCGTACGTTTCCCAGGTCCTAACTTTAGTGTTATCAATAGTAAATATAGATAGAGTCCAATGTTTCGCAGGCCTAATTTTAACACTATATATCGGTATCATATGTAGACAGAATCCAATGTTTTTCAGGGCCTAATTTTAATACTATATATCAGTACTAAATATATACGTCAGTACCAAATGTACACAGAATCCAATGTTTCTCAGGGCCTAATCTTAATACTATACGTTCATTGGATTCTGTTTATATTTAGTATTTTTCTTAAGGACTATTTTTAGTGTTATCAAATGGAGACAGAATCCAGTGTTTCTCGTGGCTAAACTTAAGTATTATCAGCAGTTCTCGCTTACTGATAAGATAAAGTTACCCTTGAAATTAATATAGACTGAAATGTATTTCAATAAACGTTTTGTTGGGTTTCATCTAATTTCTTTCGTTTAATATGTCTGTACGTACACATTATAAAATGAAATTAGAATACCGGCTGATGATAAAGGATGATAAGCTGGATTTTATTACTTTTGTAGTCTTCGTTATTTCAATTGCTGTAAACTTGACGAGTGTTAATATATGTCAGTAACACGAAACACTCAAAACGTTTCTAAACATTCAGTTTCAATATGACCACTATACTAAACAATTTAACAAAAATAATAAAACATATTTCTGGCCCAACAGGAACAGGAAACCCTCCCGCTCTCACCTCTCCTCACCTGCTTCATCAAGCTAAAGTCAAGTCAGGAACACCCAACAGTTTCGTTCCTGTCAGTGGAGGGTCACCCGGCCTGAGAGAGGCTGTGATTTACCACCAGGAGGCTCCCAGGGCAAATAAAAAGCCGGTGTCTCCTCATAACAGTGAAAGTACGTTCATTTATAACTCATGTTAAAATGCTATCATAACTCGTAAACTACTTTGTTTGTTTTTCGATGTGGGCGTGGCTGAAATACGTCAATCAAAGTGGTGCTCGTCTCCTGTTTCATTATAAAACGCTATGTTAAACTAGTTGTACAAGACAACGACAACTTCTACATGACAGAAGGCATGAAATAGAGGACTATTCACTCTTTGTTTGAAAGTTTTTCAGTAAGGTGTATTTTGAATAACAATTTTTAAGTTCAATGAACTTTTAAAAGTCACTTTACGAGGATAGAGGGCTAATGTTTCAAGTTTGTTTTTTTACATAAAAAAGATCGTAAAAGAAAAGTACAAGTGAAAGGAGTTTTATATTTCTCAGGTTCCTCAGATTTTATTTTAAGCATGAAGTGTAAACTACACTTCTGCCCTAAAATGCTTATGTATGATTGATAGTGAGTTAGTAATGTATGTCTAGTCCTCGTTGTCGCACGTGTTTTATAAGTATGATTGGTAATATTCAAACGAGTTAACTAATCATCGCACGTGTTTTATAAGTATGATTATTAATATTCAGACGAGTTAAGTAATTTGTGTCTAGCTATCGTCATCGCACGTGTTTTATAAGTACAAGTGAAATGAGTTTTTTATTTCTCACATTCCTCAGATTTTTTTAAGTACGATAGTGTAAACTACACTTCTACATTATGCCATTTAACCATCAAATAACCATATATAACACAAAGAGTGTGAACTGATGAAACTGTCTACTTACTGGTTGTAACATCATGTGTTAAACTTGCCAATAGTCAATATTAAGCTGTATAATTAACTGATGAAACAGTCTACTTACTAGTATTTATACGTTGTAACATCATGTGTTAACCTTGCCAATAGTCAAATTTAGGCCCTATAATTAGCTTATGAAACAGGCTACTTACTAGTATTTATATGTTGTAACATCATGTGTTAAACTTGCCAATAGTCAATATTAAGCTGTATAATTAACTGATGAAACTGTCTACTTACTAGTATTTATACGTTGTAACTTCATGTGTTAACCTTGCCAATAGTCAATATTAAGCTGTATAATTAACTCATGAAACTGTCTACTTACTAGTATTTATACGTTGTAACATCATGTGTTCACCTTGCCAATAGTCAAATTTAGACCCTATAATTAACTGATGAAACTGTCACTTACTGGTATTTAAACCACGTGTTAAACAGTTTATTTAACATCACCTTTAAATGATGAAGCGATAAAAAAAATACTACTTAAGGTTTATGTTACAAAATATATTTATTTTTCTCAGCTCTGACTCATCAACCAGGAACAGTAAACTTAGCTTGTCCACCTTCGTCCAGCCTGGGGGGTCCCGTACCTCCTTCTGGATCGTATAATTTGGGGTCAGGCCTCGGAAAATACCAAGAAAATGGAGATACGTTTTCTGACTTTGTTAACCTTGTTTGTCAAGAAGCCCAAAGTGCTGTACCTCAGCAGGTCAGTAGTAGAAGGACGCCAATATTTTAATTATCTTTGGGTGCAAACTTCTGTTTATATAACTTCCGATATGCTGAGACTAATATCAAAACATATAAAACAAATAACATTTTTGTAATAAGGCCCATAGAAACAGTTTAATTTTAACCCTATTGTTTGCTATCTTAGGCAAATTATTCTTTAAACACTCGCTGCTTCCTAGAAGTAAGTTGTTTCTTCATGAGCCTTTTAGCTTTTCCTAAAGATTGCGTTTTGAAATAAACACAATTTCATTCGCTTAGAATTATTTTACATCTTAGACGGGGTTTGCATAAGAAAACAATTTTTATAAAAGTAATTATCCAATTACCAAAGTTTTTTTTTCTCTTTTAAACAAAACAGTTAAATTGAATTCGGAAGACATCAAACAAACACACTAATTCAAATCCACCATAAATAAATAAATTATTATGTAAAGTAGAAAAATAACTAAACTGTGTTAACCGAGCTCTGCTGTCGATACATAAGTTCAACTTAAAATCAATGCTAGCCTTATATTTTATTATTATAGTGTAATATTATAATGTTTGTAGGCCTAGCGTATAATGTTCTACTGTAATATTATAACGTTTATAGGTCTAGCGTATAATGTTTTATTATTATAATGTAATATTATAATGTTTGTAGGCCTAGCGTATAATGTTTTACTGCTTTACTGTAATATTATAACGTTGTTGCGTCAGCGAGGTCACGTGACTAGTGTCACGCCACCTCTCGAACCATCGGGAATAGTCGGGAGATTACTAGATATAGGGTAGGCTGGTATATATATATAAGAGGGTGACAACGTGACGGGACAATGTGTGTGTAGGTAGTGAGTAATTGAACTGCAGTCAGGAAGTATTGTTGAAGTTAACGTTAGTTGTTAAAACGTTTGTAAAAGAGCGACTGTTGAAAATAAATGTATCGGTAAAGTTATATTCAGAAAGAATAAACCAGTTTTATTAAGTAAGGACTTGTGCCGCTAAAGTTTCGTCGGAACGAAGTTACGGAAAATCAATTAACAAACGGAGACGTAACAACGTTTATAGGTATAGCGTATAATGTTTTATTATTATACTATAATATTATAATGTTTAGACCTAGCGTATAATGTTTTATAACTATAGTGTAATATTATAATGTTTAGGCCTAGCGTATAATGTTTTATTAATATAGTGTGATATTATAATGTTTGTAGGCCTAGCATATAATGTTTTATAACTTTACTGCACTATTATAATGTTTGTAGGCCTAGCATATAATATTTTATTATTTTACTAGATTGGAGTTATGTAAAATCCCCTTGGGTTCCCCGCCCTTCCTTCAAAGTTAAGATGATTGTTGTCCCTGTAAATTTGTGTGACCTATACAGTTACGATAGTTTTCCCCTGTAATCTCATGCCACCTATACAGCTAAGATAATTGTCCCTGTAAACTGACTTGGCCTATATAGGTAAGATAGTTTTTATCCTTGTAAACGTATGTGGCCTGTACAGTTAAGTTAGTTTCTGGTCCCGTAAGCTCGTGTGATCTATGCAGTTAAGATAGTTCTTGATCCTGTAAGCTGGCGTGACCTAACTAGTTAAATTAGTTTTTGCCCCTGTAAGTTGATGAGACCCATACAATTATTTTTTGCCCCTGAAAGCTGAAGTGATCTATGCAGTTAGAATAGTTTTGCCCCTGTAAGCTGATGTGAAATCTACAGTTAAGATAGTTTTTCTGCATTTTTAAGTTCGAGTCTAATACATATATAGTTCTGTTGCTAAGCGACACAGACGAACAGAGCGTTACCAAAAGACAACTGGCTTTTATATATATTAGATTGTAATAATATAATGCATAAAAGCCTAATGTACAATGTTTTATTACTTTTTAGAAATAATACAATGCTTAATTGATTTTATAGTAATAATATAACGTTTACAGGCTTACCAGCAACGTTTTATTACTTTATTGTGATAATATACTGTTTAAAGGCCTGGCGTATAATGTTTTATTACTTTACTAGCTTATAGCTCGTTAAAAATGACGGAGCAAATACTACCACTCCCACCCCATAGTATATCCTAACCTCACATTTCATAGCTAACTGAAATAAATAAATTTTGCGAAATCAAGCTTGACCAACAAAGAGGCAGAAAAGTGCAGTCACGACAGTCAAATGTCGGGTAATTCCTTTGTTAGCCAATCAGAATTAAGATCCTTCATATTTTTTTTAAGTCTATGTACTGAAAGTATAAACTGAAATGTATAGACAACAAAATATCCCATAATAGTTAAAAACTACAGCATAACATCGCATAATAGTTAAAAACTACTGTATAACATTCCACAATAGTTTTAAACATCACTCTATAACATCCCATGCTAGTTAAAACTCTCTAACATCCCATAATATTTAAAGACCACTGTAAAATCCCATAATAGTTAAAGACCACTATAACATCCCATAATAGTTAAAACTACTGTATAACATCCTATAATAGTTAAAATACTCTTATGTATGGTCTATAACATCCTCTAACACTTAAAAACTACTGTATAACAATCCATAATAGTTTAAATACTATAACATCCATAATATTTTTGTTGCTAAGCGACGATGTATATTGTTGATTATTACCAAAAAAGGAGCGTGAAAGCATTCTGGGCAGTATAACATCCCGTAAATAGTTAAACACCGCTCTATAACATCACATAATAGTTCAAACTACTCTATAAAATCCTATAATAGTATTGTTGCTAAGCGACGAAATATATTGTTGTGCATTACCAAAAAAGAAGCGTGAAAGCGCTCTCGACAGAGTGACACAGGGAATAAGGCGTATTTATAGAATAATTAGTGGTAAAAATCAGTTAGGTTAACAACTTCTAATATAGCATACGTAGTGCTATTAAACTGTATTCAGTGTATAAATAGTGCTACTAAACTGTATTCAGTGTATACTTAGCGCTCCTAAACTGTATTCAGTGTA